ATCCCCTTGATGAGTTCTTTTTCTAACAAATATGACATTGCAGCTTTGCAATGGGGATTTTGCGTGGGCATTTATTATCCCCTTGATAAGTCCATGAAAGCCTGATGTCACACCTTGATCATAAGTCCAAAAAAGAAAAAGAACTCATATTTGTTATCCCCTTGCCACCATGTGGGTCAGTGACAAGGAAAAAAAATAAAAACGCTTTTGAAAACTTTGCTTTTCCTTTTAGTAGAGTTAGGGATTTGTAGTTTTTGTACAGTGGTCGTCCTCTATTTATGATGAGCATCTGGGAAACCTCATTGAGATTTTGACAATTAATATTTGACTAGCGAGTAATTGTTTTTGTTTCGTATCTAGCTATCATCAAATTGGTGCTTTGATTATACATTTCTTATCCTTTTTTACTCTCAACATATACATCTAGGCTAACTGAATGGTTTAGAGAGCTCAGACCTAATCAATTTTTCAACTGGCTTTTTCCAGTTTTCGTTGGTTCTAGAGAGCTTCCAAAGACCAAAGAGACTAGCCAACTAAAGGCCATTTCGTTCATACGAAAACAAGGAATGTGATCATCTGATAAACTTCCTAAAACCAAGGGATGTAAGAAAAATAATGTGACAGAAATTCATATTGTCCTCCTGTTCTCACTTCAAACTATGATTAAGAAGTCAAAGTTCGAAGTTCAGTCTGCTGATTTTCAAGGAACATGACTATCTGCCACACTTCCAAAACCAAGGGATGCAAGATCAACATTAATCAGAAGTCAAAAGTTCTTCAAATTGTCACTTTAAACTATGAGTAGAAATCAATGTTTGAAGTTACAATGCCCTAACTGCTTCTGGAAACAATGGAAGGAAAAAACCTAAAGAAAGGAAATTTACCAAAGTGCTACCTCATCTAGTATTTTGCAGTTATTTTCCATTCTTTCTTTAGATAAAGCATCAGCCAGTAACCACAGTCAGGAAACATAACTGAAAAAAACTGAACAAAACTATTCCAAGTTACTACATCTATGGAACAGATGCAAATCATAGAAAACTTAAGGACAAGTACATTAAAAATATGATACCTGTCATCATGCCAGAACGAATTTGCATCCAACTCGGGCAGCACGAGTGTAGCATTCATGATTCGGGCAGCAAGCACAGCATTACAAATCTACGATATCCAGAATGCCATCCATTAGTTTATTGCAAATAATTCCTTCAAATAGGTGGCACCTTCAGAGCCAATTCAAGCTTTTCAAGCTTCACCAAATGCATTGTTTGAAATTTCTTTGAAATACATCTTAATATACATGTGAAAAGGAAGCAGTAGAAAGAAGAAAACTGTAGCAAATTTATAGGCATCCAAGTGTAACTGATACCAGTCAAGATTAAGAAAAAAAAGGAGCATGAACAGGACAAAATTGAGATTATAGCAAGAATAAAGTACAGACCGCACTACGCTGCTGATTCAGACCACCATTACAACGAATGCGGAGATAACCGTTGCTCTCTTTTGGAGGAGCTGCCAGAATGAGAAAAAGGATAAATTTCATATTCAAAAATCTTCTAAACCTAATCAGTCACTGTTACAATATGATCTCATAATCTTTATCATAACATGGTTTAATATTTATTGGAATTGTCTGCTGAAGACATGAGAAGTACACACGAGGCCAGTCTGATCGTGGAGCTGATGATGGTCTCCAACCACCAGAGTTGGCACTTGCCCAAAGTTCCTCTACATTGATCTGCTTCAAAGTTAAAACAAAAAGAATGGCCAACCATCAGATTAATCAACAATGATAAGAAAAAACTAGAGATGAGAAGACAGAATTCAAGATGTACGCAGGCATGTTCATTCTCCATGCATATTAATTTGCATACATGCATCATTCATTAGTTCCTTGTATATCTCAAAACAATGACACTTTTGAGCTTATACAATTAATAGTTTTTGTACACTGCAACAACAAGAAACAGAATCACAGCTGCCCACTAATTTGAAAAGGAAAAGATAGGAGACCTCGTTTGAAATCCCTATCACTCACCATATGGCAACAACTAATGTAGCATTTTTATTTCTTAATTGGCAGAATAATGAGATAGTAACGGATATAGAGGGAAAGTTCAGTTCCGTAGACATCAAAGTGCACCTGATGCTTCAAATCTTGCAAAGCATCACTTCCGTGTTCAGAAAATGCAATGATTTTAAACAACATTTTATATCCGTAAAGCCACAAGACAAGTGGGATTCCTTGGTAAATTTTAGCTTTATATCTGAAAATTTATCTGAAATGTCGAAGAACTATTTCATTGTTTTCTCCCTTGTTGCTTTTATTTGATGCATCTGCTAAGTGCTCATTTCTATGTCACTAGGTGATTGGACTTCTTCATTTGCTTTTAAAAGATCTCCTATGAGACCACAAAGCTGTCATAACTTGACTGCCTCCATCTGCAAGGCAGATCTTCATTCAGTTCTCAAAGGAAAAAAATGTAATATGCTAATAACATTCATTAACTCTGGTGAATTAGTGGCATATAGCTGAAATGCATTTGCCATTACGAGAATGCAGTGATTTGAAATTAATTTCGTTGTTATTGTTTTATTTATTAACAACTGATAATTTGATCTTTTTCATCCGAAAAAGAAGAAGAAAGTGGACTATTTGAAGTATAATTTACTTACTTTATTAGCTGAATGAGATTACAGTTGACCCAATACAGTATCTAGATCCCAATGGAAAACACTGAAAATTACTCATCTACTGCAATTACTCCCGAATAAATAAATTCACCTATGCGACCAATGAGAAACCTTAAATTTAAGTAAAGAAATAACAAAATAAAATTATGATAGAAAGGCCTTTTTTTCTAATAAATGTGTATTTCAGGTTTCTTAGAAAATTTCAGCACCGAGTAATGAAAGATGCGAGAATCAGGCTTTCAATTTCTCCCGTTTCGGTTATCTGACGAACCAAAGAGAATTAAAAGGAAAAACCAGCGGCTTATACAACCGCGTTCATACTAACCTCCGACGGACCGCTCGATCCGCGATTCTCACTGGTAGTTGCCGAGAAGAAAAGCGAAAGAGTGCAGATCAAGAGAACGACAACTGCGATGCCAAGCTTGACTAACATACCTTTAACTCCCGCACCTTGCTTACCGTGCAGCCGATGGTGACCTAACCTGCAACAAATAAAATAATGGTCAATCTCATGCCAAATCTCAAGGTGAAAAACAAGCTGGAAATGAAGACTTTCCTATCCAGAAAAACCGGAGAAGAAAGATATGGCGTCTCGATTGTACCTCCTCATTGTTTTAGAGGACTGGATTGAACGCTTTGTGGAAGGAATTGCTGGTGTTGCAGGAAAATGGAGATCTAAGTCAATGTTACAGAGGTTCTATTCCTCCCTTGCTTGTGACGTGCTGTGTGTGTTTGTAGCTAAAGTGCTTAGAGAGAGTGAAGATGTAAAATTTGATAATGAAGCTCGGTTTCTTGTGACTGACAGTTGGGTTTCCTGGGGGCCGGTACAGCCCGTATGTGCGACGAACCGACTCGAACCCCCTTTTACCCGATCCGACCCATCTTCAACCCGTTTCCATAATAATGCATTATTATATTTTTTGAATTACGTAACTTTTTGAGTGAAACATAACATAATTCTTTTAGAAGGATGAGCCGGATTCTTTGAAAAGCAATATCTAACTTAAAATTGTTTAGTACTTTACAATAAATATTATCATATAAATTTAATGTTATTATAAACTGTTCTAGCAATTCTAAATAAGCATAATACTCTGATATAATCCTTCAAAAAATATCAATCATAAGCGATTTGAAATGTAACTTGAAAAAAAAAAAATTTGATGCATAAAAGATAAGAAACATATATGTATGATAATATTAGTTTTTCATGTTATATTATGTTTATTTAATTTTTTTATTTACCACACGATGCTGCAGGTTCATAATTTTTGTTTATATTTTTTTTGTTTTTTTAATTAATTAATTATTAAAATTTTAATAATTTTTTTAATTAAGTCAAAATAACACGTTTCTTTTTATTTTTATTTTTTATTATTAAAAAATTCTACTGCTGACTAAAATTTTTATTATATATAAGAATATAATTTTATCTCTCTTCTATATTTTTATTTTTTAACGAAGATAAACTATTGGTTAAGAGATATTATTATAAATTCTTCTTTTTTAGTGTTATAGGTGGCTTCTCAAATACTTATTTGTCTCAAAATAATTTTATCTTTTTTCTTGTTGCATTATTTGAAAGCTTGAAAT